CAACAAGTCCCAATAAACTGGTCAAGTCCGTAGTCCGCCCGTTTGATATAGTTGAGGATTAAAACTGCGTTCAGTTTAAGTTTTGTAAAAAAAAAATCTTGTAGAGTCATGAAAAATCATAGACTTTTATTAACCTGGCATAATTTAATAGTCAGCAGGCTATTCATGTTCTTGGTTCAGCAATTGCAATATTGGAATAAAATGAATAATAACAACACATGCGAGTAGTACCTATCTAACGCGATGAATTTATTGAACGGACACAACATCCATTCTTTGTTCGTTTTGCTCCTGTAAATCAGACTGGTAATAACAGGCTTGGCTCAGCGTACCTGTGTGGTCAACCTTGTTTATTTTCCCTGTCAGATACTAAGAGCGCAATTAAGTAAATCTATCTTTGGCGACGATAACGATCAATTTATTTTCATCAATTCAATAGTGTGAACGCTCTTTGAATTAGAATCGATGTCCAAAGTCATAATTGTGAAGGCGCTGTGTTAAATTCGCCATTGTAAAGGCACCCCTATAAATAAATGTTTTTTGATGAATTACAACTAGCTAAGTCGCTATATGCTAGATCATGGAATTCCCAAATTAATACGTGATTGCAGTCAAACTTGCATGTTGAAACAAAAAACTGGATAGGTGGTTTGTTCCGCATAGATAAAAAATAATAATTAAGTAAATAAATAAAATGTAAATATTATTATGCACTAATAACATTAATTTTGGACTTGACGTAAGGTATAAACGTAATAGAAACTTAGAAAGCAATTATAAATATTGCGTTTTTAATTATAATAATTATCAGGTGTTAATTAATTTAAAACTGGTTAGAAAAAACTTGAAAAAAGTGCGTAATCTCTGTTTATGCACCTCATACCTACTCGTATGTGGGTTTATCCCATTTCCATTAGAGTCATTGGTGTTAAGATTTTGACTATGACCTATCCCATTTCATTGGTCTATCCTATATGATTTGGAAAAGATATAGAAGATTTGGAAGTTTATTTATAACTTCGTGCTATTTAATAATAGTCAGACAATTTTCCGTATCTTCAGAATCTTTGGGACTGTCAATTAAGACCACCATCAATCATCAAATGCAGCAAAGAAAGATACTTGATATTAAACAATATTTGTCATTGGATGAACGTGGTCACTTGTTACTTAATATTTTCATCACTATCTACTTCTACTGTGAAACAAAGAAATAACGGGATTAGTCAACTGAAAAGGAAAAAAAGACAAGTAAGTTTCTAGATGAATCTATTTGAGGCAAGATATCCTCGATTAGTCCTTAGCCCGGCTTAATCGATTCGCTCTGCTTATTTCATCATTGATTGCTATAATTAATAAGCCAGTGAATTAATGACTATTTTGCATGACTCAACCGTTCGAGTTGAATAAACGGAGAGATATTAAATAATGAAAAAATAATGTTCGTTAATTATTCTATGGTTGACCTTTATTGCAAGTAAAGCAGCATTTTGAAAATACTGTGGAGGGAGCTTAAAGCACTATTAAGTATGATGACCTATGAGGTCAGTTTGCTATGTTTCCTGAAGTAATAGATTTGATAAATGTCGGATTATAAAAAGGTGGTAACGAATATGAAATTCTGGCTTCTACGAGTATAATGGTGTTTGTTAATTGATTTCTTTTGTCTAAAATTCAACTTGCATTTATACTTTGATAATAATTTATTTGTAAGTAGGTAACATCCGTTTTAATAGGTTGTTCACTCTTTCCTTCGATACATTTGTATTATAATTGGCACTATTTCCATTAAAGATTTAAACACGGGAATATATTTGTAAAAACAAAACGTCCGCATTTCTAAACAATCAGCAAGTTATTATTTATCATCATTTAGTTGTAACGACCAGCTGATTGTTGATTTACTGATTGTTGTAACAAATAGTTTAATAATTATTTTAATAGATGAAGTACCAATCATCATTGTCACCTTAAAAATACTCGAAATATCGCCGAAACAAGTGGTCGTCATACATATCAAATGACACTTCACACTTTGAACATATCAATTAAAACCCAATTCAGTGACGGTATGAATCATAATACTCGTTTAAACACGCGTGTATTTATACCTATTGCAGATTTCTGTGCGTACTTTTACGTAATCCAACGTATGTATATTCCTAATATATGTATTAAAATTAATTTATGGAAATTGACTATTAATATAGCGTGCTTATAATTATTAGTTGGCCAAGATGTCTGTCTGTCTTTTCTTTGTCTGGTAGAGATGATTATTAAATAAGGGTTGAATTCAATATTATAAATAAATAAAAGTCCTACAGGCCATATATGGATGATGAATTGTATTATTAATTGTGATATTTTACTGGACAATTAACTGTTAATTGATTTCCACGGCAAGTGATCACAGTTGACATTGAAAAATAAAATCATAATAATAGTAAATAATATTTACCTTTTAATTGTATTACTTATTGAACTATGAATCAATGGAAATGCACCTATAAACCAATTAAAAATATTCCTTTAACGATCTATTAAAAATAATTAAAACATTCGATATTAAAACAAACGCATGCAGGTCTCGTGACTTACTGATTCATGTAACATCAAAAAGAAAAAATCGAATTGGTATTGGTATTTGATTAAGTATATTATAATGAATAACAAGGAAAATGTCAACTATCTGACTTGTAAGCAACAATTCATCAACGAAATATTTTATTGAAGGATTTATATGCTTTTGTTATTTTTCTTTGTCACCTTGATGAGTAACGTGCGGTATTGGATTTACGAGTAATAAACTGGCCATTTAGTCATAAAATTAAAGGCTACGGTCGTATATTGTTGTAGAGTGGGTTCACACCGTGAAAATGCTGAAACAAGTTGAATTAAGGTAATGTTCAAATTGCTACGTGTGACATTTGAGAAACAGGCACATAAAATGTACTCAAAGTAGCAGTGTGAATATAATGTAGCCCTTTCTATGTTTTAGAATATTACCCCACACAATGTATGTCTCTCGCTGCATTGAAATAATTTCTGTAAACTTAATATACACTACAAGCTCTACTAGCGGCATTGGAAGTCTGATAACGTTATTCTATAGAAGCTATTAAACTTGTAAAGTGCTCATTACTGTCGTGTAAAAGCGGAACTGCATATTGTCAGCTGATGGTATCGGTCTGCGAGCATCTCAGGCAGCGCTGTTATTATACTACGTGTTGTCTTGTGGATCCGTGCTCGTAGATAAAGAAACGTTCATGATAAAAAAATAGGTATACATGGGTTTATATTACCAGAGCTTTTATTAACAAAAGAACCTTTTTGCTCTGGTGAGTACGCCCACTCGTGCTTTGTGAAGCAGGAAAATAAGCTGAAACTTATAACTGCAACGAAATGTATTGACCATTAATATGTATGTCGGTTGACCGTTACACGCGCCTATAATGGCCACAAAGAGGAGAACTGATTCTAAGCGTTATATCTGTAGGATAAGGTTCAAAAAATACTGGCGAGATTCATCACGTAAATTTGAGAAAAGCTGGTTCTCCGCCTAATTATTACAATGCACCGGTTTCCGCAGTCGCTTGTTGAATGCACCGCACTCCAAATCATTTGTTCCCCGTCTTATCACATGACGTTAATAGAGCTGGCCTCATCGCTTATTAGATGCCCGTTATCAACATCAGGGAAATAAATAATTAATTCGCCATGCTGATTATAATCGCCCTTGATAAATATATATGTAACCCATGTAAGTGAGAGATAGAGTTAAGAAAATTTTAAAGTTAAAGTTGCAAGGTTTTTATTCATCGCGTCGTTAAGTCGTTATCTAGTGTTGAACACTTCCAAGAATAATTTGACTAACTAAGTATTTAAGTATTCTTTTAAATGGCCATCAAACGTTAGGTAGGATCAAGAACGACCAAAATAAGGTTAAGAAAAGGTGTGTTGAAAGATGTTCATTATTTGATGCAGTTTTTGTGTCCGGCTGTATATTATCTATGATGTGTTGAAATTGAGTAGCAATAGGAAAACGACCTTCACAAAATGCTAAAGTGAATCTCGAACAAAAGAGCATTGAACACATGCTTGTCATTTACATTATCATCTTGAATCTGTAAAAAGCGATAACAAATGGGTAACTCGCTGAACACAAAAAGCATTTTGCATGCATGATTATTCCAATCACTAGATCGATGCGTGATAGCTCGATCAGTTGATGATTGGGTGGGTATTTGATTTGGCTCTACACTAAAACTTATTTGAACAAAAATTGGAGTTCATAAGTTCCAATGTTAAAGAGTTTTGATTAACAAAAACTCAGTCATATCCTGTCTAGAGAGATTAACGTGCATTATTTTTTGTGCATAACCGAAGCCCGTGTCGTTGATTTTGTTCCCGGCGCGGCAATCAAGGTCTCATACTTTATGAGGATTCGTAACTTTGAAAAACTAAACCGGATTCGATATGTTTTGTTGGAGTTTTTTAATATGTGCTATGTGCGATTACATCATCGATCCAGTAGCCGCTTTAATAAGAATTCGCAAAACACTGGTATTATTCTAACGGACTTTTTACAAAATAAATCTCTCAACATCTTGGAACTACGAGTACCTACTAGTTTTTACTCTAGTTTTAAGTTAATTAATGTCACATTGCACATAATGTTTCGCGACATGGACATGAAAATAAGTTACTTATTTTTTACGTTTGACATCTATTATTTATTTAAAACAATCTTTTCTGTCCAAAAAGCTCGACCGATTGACAAAGTTGCAAGTACCTGATTTAATTTCAGACAAAATTACATGCAATCAAATTTAATTTCAATCGGCGTAGGTACATTGCGTTAAATATATTTGTAAGCCTCTACAAGTGGGCTAATAAGTGCTTGCGTTGCGGTTCCTAGCTGTGCGGTTGCTTAGCGAGTGTTGCATAGTGCGCTGGCGTGGGTCACCGCATTAACCAGTCCCTCTCTTTGTACTTTGTAGCCGCCGAGGGCTGGCCTGCCACTCGCCCGGACCCCGCCACCCGCCCGCGGGGCTTCATTCTACGGTCTCCGATAAGGACAAACACGTAGTATGTATTCTTTTAATTCATTTATTCACATACAAGGACTGAGTGATTGCATATCAGATCACATTACTTAAGCTTTAGAATATTTTTTACACGTCTAGTTTTCTTGTTTCTACTCGTATTATTTGTATTAGATATAAACTTACTTCAGCTACTTTTCTGGTCCTTCGAGCCGGATTTATTTATTTAGTTCTAATTTTATTGGCGCTAAGCGCAAACTCGACTAAACTCTCGCTCATTTAGAATCTGACTCTAACAATCACATTAGACCGAATGTTTTATTGAGTCCTTAAACTTCTGGCGTGGACGCGTGGTAGTATTCTTATGTACTAGGCCAAATCGGTAGCTTTATCTACCTACTCATATATAACCTTAAAAAAAACTCCTCTTATGACAACTTAAGGTAAAAATAATTCTATTTTGTGGTCTATCATAATGTCTATTGTTAAGTCTTTGTTAACATCAAGTTTTTTCACTAAGATGAACCAGACAAATCGAAAGATCACCAGAAGTATAAAAGCTTAGAACTGGTTATAATTCTATTCTTAAGATCATACGTATACAAAGAATATTATTTTTAATTTCAATAGTATTACAAACGCGCAAGCGTTTTATACTTTGCGACCGAACAGGTTTACGTAGTTATTAATAGCAGTTAAAAATAAAATAAAACAGTTAAAACTAGCTATGTGACGATTCATATCCAGTTTCTAGCTTGATTCTATGTTCTTTTTATTGCAATTTTTACATTGACTACGTAAGTAAGTATCTGTGGAAAAGGGCATCGTAGGACACCTTTTTATTATGTAGAAAACCTCGTATTTTTTTCTAATCCACATCTATTTATCACAGATTATATAGCTCTACATCTCCCAAGCGCTCTATTGTAGAAAAACTTTTAGACTCAGCATTTGCAACATTAATATTTCTTATATCGGTTATAGGCCCAATCATTATAACATTACTAATTTTAAATTTATCGCTTTATTATGTAGTCCTATCAAACATCGCGTCGTTGTAGTAACTTGTTAATATTTGTAACAATATCACCCGACCCACTGTTTGCTTGCACATTTGCAAAATAAGAAGAAATCGGCATTCCAAAGGAGTATAAAATTTGGTGAAGGTTTACTTTTGCAGCAATATTGCGTCTTCTAGGCAACTCTCTCAGGGACAGTACCCTTGATACACACTGTTTTTCCGCTTCAATTGGTTTCTAACTCTATAAACAGCTCAAAACTTTGATAATTATTTTTGTTTCGCTATTTCCGCGAGATTTTAAGGTCTTTAATCATTTCACACCACAAGTGATTCGGGCCACGGTGTGAAACGCCCAAGAACTGTCTTTTCGCACTGTATCACTTGAAACTGTGCGAATGGCTCTAGGAATCATTTGAATTGGGTCGAATCAGACCGCGGTGTATCACAATCCTCGTTTTCGAGAGGCGAATCTGAACTAGGTACTGTTAAAAAGTTATAAACTCATTTTGTTCCTAGGCGATTCACACCATGGTGTGAAAGGTTTCTTTCAAAAAGAGCACTCAGGCGAATCACACCGCGGTCGGAATCACTCGTGGTGCGAAACGACTAATCTTAATAAATACAAGCATCAAAATATATCTTTAAATTAAAGGATACCGCAGCGACGCATGCACCTCATTCAAAAGAGATTATTATACATGCCAGTAAATATTCCAATTGAGTATGTGACATACATTATTGCAAAATGATCATTTGGAATTGCATGTCAATTTGTTATCATTAACCGTACGTCTTTAGGTGTTCACATAACGATCGATGAAGGCTGGTTCATTGAAAAACGTTTGCGGACTGCGGAAGAGATTGAAAATATCAGTTGGTAAACTGCGATGCAATTTCTCTCATATTTGTGCCCTATACGACGTTACTAGAAAAAGGTAGGGCAGGAAGAGGTTATCGACTAGTTATCCTCGACAAAAAATGTTATAAAAAAGCAAGCAAGTACGGCTATATTCCGGTTACATTGTCCATGGTATTGGTATGTGTGTACAGTGTCTACTTATGTGGATTAACTGCGAACAGTCACGGTCATTTATTTAAAATTTTGGCACGCATTGATAGAACGGTAAATCTAAACAATTTTAGGTTATTAAACAAGCTTGATCAGCTATTGTTCGAAAATGATTCTAAAGGTCCATTTATTATTATTAGAATGTATGTAAATTAGAATCAATCAGCTAGTCACTGACGTCTGTATGCAGGTCGAAATAGTTACGTTATAATCCATCTTACTTTAACTTTAACAAACGACAATAAAATCTGTCAAACACCGTACACAAAACACCGGTTATCGTTATATGTAGTTACAGTCAAAGTTAGGTGGTGCAACTCAGCCTAATACTAGTAACAACGTTGTTGATAAAGATAATGACGTCACTCATTCCTCTTGAATGGCCGCACGTTGTTAGTACAAGTTTCAGTCAGGTTAATAGTTTCACGGATGGCAGAGCCCATTCATAAAGGCGCGTGACGTTTTGATTACGCTAAAATTACAATAATTATTTTATTTAATAACACATCTTCAACCGTTTAATTGGTTTTCCTGTTTAAACAAGTAAACAGTATATCTCTATGATCTTCTGAGTTGAGATCCACGAGTCTGTTATGAGTCGGTAAGCTAGATAATGCATTGTACTAACTAGATATAAGAAGCTTATCAATTCTATTCTCGTTTTAAATATAAGATATAAAGATACTCCTCTTCATATTTACAAAATTAATTTTTGACGTCAATATTATGTACACAAGTTTTCATGGGTTATTTCAAATTATTTTCTTCATTGATCACTATTCGACCTAATCTTAAACACTGCTGAGGGTTTGCGATGCTACATGAAGACTGCAATACTATCTTTCATTGACAAGCGAAGTAACTTTGGGATCATTAAGCAAGGACTCAGTTTGCACAGAAAAGTCTATGTATGTAGGTAGGTATTCTGTAGTAAGGACTATTTAGATACTATGAGCTTCAGTTTCAGTGTGTTGGCTAACATCAACAGTACGATCTTTAACGCGTAGAAAAATTGCAAAAGTTGATCGTGTACTTAGATTTGTTGATCAATAAGTAGCCGTATTTTTTCCTGTTAAGATTTACTCCTTATTCAATCTCCTTTTAGTTTAATTTAACTTTGGTGGAGTTAATTTCTCACTAGTTGGTACTTAATAAATAATTACTTCATGGCTTCTGAGAATGCTTTGTTGTTTGTCCATTAAAATGTTTTACTGCCTATTTATAAATAATTTAAATTATTAAAATTCATCTGTTTTTTCATGAAAAATATTTTCCACATCGGTGATTCTGAACCAAAAATAGTCTGGCAAAGTATTTTAATTGTGTAGAAACCTGCCTATACTCAAGTTCACTTACCTATATAAATTCTTACCGAATATACGCGAACGTCTAACTAGGCGATGGTTAGAAATCGACCATTGCTCGTCGCAGTTCCTCACGGGACATGGCAACTTTAAACATAAACTTCACGAATTCAAACTAGTTCCGTCTCCTTTTTGCGAGTGTTCCACTGATGATGTCAGTCATGAGCAGTCTGCCCATCATATCTTGTGGGAGTGTGATCTTTGGAAACATGAACGTGATATAATGCTTAATTCAATACAACATACATCTGTTTCCGCAATTTATTACACCGATCTTGTCGCGACAAGGAAAAATTTCCGTGCTTTTAAGCGATTTTGTGAAAAATATTATTGGCAGGTAGTTGCTAATTGCTCATAAGATAGGCCCTCTTAATTTAATTTATTGTCCGTGGTGCATAATCTTTTCTTAAAGGTTTTAAACCTTTGTTTGTCACCTGTCATCCGCTTTGCAATGGAGGGAAGTCGAACCTTAATTTCGAACTCCTCCTATGTTCTTCTGATTAATTTCGTTGCGGTTCCAATGACAGTTTAACTTTCCCCCGGGACAAACTTGACCTTCATTGGTTGGGTTTTTGTGGCGGTCAAGCTATAGATCCTGGCTACACAGGAGTTGCAGTGGTGGGAACGAGAGGTGGGAATAGTCCCGTATACTCAAGTGTATTTGTTCACAATGTGTAAAAGAAGCTGAAGTTTAAAACTAGTTAACATTTCCTACTACGTAAGAGCAGCGTTAAAATACCGTGTTTATTGTAAAAATTACATATAATTGCACATAATTAAAAAGCCGCTGCTCTGACATGTTCTACGCCTGACTCAGTATGGCGACCATTGTTTTAAAGTTTTGTTATTCCACAATTTATAAATGTTGTTAAAATCCTGTTTGTCAAAGAAATAATGCCACTTTTGACCGAGATATTGATTTGTGTGATTTTCGAGGTTATTCCTGATAACGGGACGCCCGAAATACTTTCTTCCTGATTCATCTCTGGCCATTTTTACAAAAGAAACATTGCATGTCAATTTGTTATGTCAATATCAGCAAACCCCGTAACGGAAGCAGACTGAGACCTTAGTAACTGAGATCAATGTCAGAATTTTGAATCCTTGAACTTGATCATAATAAAATTTTGCTTTAACAAGCAGTTTACAAAAACGATCAACAGTCAACTCTACAACGCGAGATGCGTCCGTTATGACCTCAAATCAATATTTAAATTTATCATTTCGGAATGTTTGCGGAATATTTTGATTTCATAATATGTTTGGCGACGTATTTTAGTAATAATGTCCGCAAAATCTCGAGGTTCTTCGTTTGTTACATTTAGTGCAGTTGTATAGGTATTGCTTGTTGTATAGCGTTTAAAAATTACAAAGCTAGGCCAATTTCCAGACTTATTTTGTTATTACGACATAGATAGTAAATAAATAAGTGTAATAATATATATAATTTTAAGTCAATTTTGTGTATCAAAAAGATAGCTTCGATTTCATTACGGCTTCAGAATCTCGAAGATAAATAAGAATTGTTAAGAACTTCGCGTTGATCTGGTCGTGGTCAAGTGACAGTAATTTGATTATATTTTTTCCAC